CCGAACGGCTTGGGCCCGGCGGCAGCTGATGGTGGAAGTGGTAGTGGTGACGGTCGCACACCGAAGGAGGTCGGCCCGCCGCCGCCGCCGTCGGCTGCTGCGGCGGCGGCTGCGGCGGTGACAACGCCACCGGTTGGATCATCGGCCACGGCGGCAGCAACAACAACCACGACCTCAGCAACAGCAACAGCGACCCATCCCGAGGGATCCTCCGCGGAAACAACGACGGCAACGTCGACCACACGGTCGTCGCCGTCACGCCTGCTGCCGACCGTCCGCTGCGGCATCGAGATGGCCGTGGTCCACCTCGTGGCCAGGGCGGCGGGGGTCAGCGTCGGGGCGGCGGTAAGCGCGGCGTCGGGGCTGCCGTGCAGGGGGGCCGTCGAGATCAACGGCCTGGCGACCCGAGGGGAGGGGGTGGCGACAGGCGGCAGCACGGAGGTGAGAGGTCGATGTAGCCGTCGAGTCGAGTCGAGTCGAGTCTCGTGTATGTTTTCTCTTCTCTCTGACAACGAACGAAGTAGCCCGTGTCGCCGAGCACGACGGCTGGCGTTGGGGGGAGTATCGACTTTGGTGCGTGTCTTCTCTTCTCTGTGCCAGCAAAGTAGCCCGTGTCGCTGAATGCGGCGGCTTTGTCGGCTCGAAAGGAGGCTTTGAAGGGTACCAACGAATAGGGTTGAGGTCGTCATGCTGTACGCCGATCGTTAGGGTGTATCTGTGTTGTCCGCGGCTATGTACAGAAGGATTTGAAACTCCGCGACGGACAGGCGCGAGTTTCGGTGATGACGGGAGAGGCTCAACGTACGGGATATATGCCCGTTAGAGTCTTTTTCTGCGGCAAGAACGTGGGGTTGGTATTGCCTGCTGCATGTCGGGATGAGAGTTTGTGGGAGGAGAGTTCGTTGGAGGAGAGGGGGTTGCGTGGAGTGATGGCGGGTAACGAGGGGGTGGTGGTATGGTTTGGTCTGGTTCATGTCTCATATATATACACATGTGTCGCTGAACTTTCTCTCTCTTTCTCTCTCTAATTCTCCCTCTCTCTCTCTCTCTGTCTCTCTCGTAAAACCTCTCTTTGTCGCATTAGCAACAGTTTCAAACCATCGTCGTTTCTGTTCGCGGGTATTACCTCAAGGTTTCGTCCCACCAGTACCAACGATAAGGGTACAAAGTATGATATGCGTATGAGCCTCCAACATCACATACCACACGCGACGGACAGGTATCAGTACCTTCCCCCATCTTGTGCCCGTGTGCCACTGCGAGACCCTGTGCTCCGCATCTAACAGAAGCGCGTGGTGATGCTTCAGTCCGAGGCACAAAACCTAGCCTTGTACTCCCTCTCATTCACCCTCCCTTGCCTGTTCTCTGTGACGAAAAACGCGTGCGAAGGCCGGCCCCCGCGTGCTCAAGGTCAAGGTGGGCGGCATTGCTGGCCCTTCCGAAGATGCCGCGCGAACTGTGCAACTCCTTCGAGAATCGGGGTCGTCGGGCAGCAGCAGGAGCAGCAGCAGCAGCAGCAGCAGCAGCAGCATAAGCAGCACCCTCAGGCTTGACGCGAATCAAGCTTGGACAATGGACGAAGCTCTCCAATTTTCGGCTGCTCTTGGTGATGCCGCCACTACCGGTGCTGCGCCTGCCGTCGCCGCCGGGCGAACAAATCATACCAGAGGCGGCGTGGCGGGGGTTACGGGGGGGGGGGAGGGTGTCGAGGGTGTCGATCTGAGCTTGGTGGAGTACATCGAGGAGCCGCTGCGAGAGCCGCGGTCGCTAGGAAAGTTCTGGGAAAGATCCGGAGGGATCGTGCCGTATGCGCTCGACGAGAGCTTGGCGATGGGGCGGGAGAAGTTCACGGACAAGGTGACCGGACAGAGAGTTTTACTGTGGGCAACTTAGTCCGAGACCCTCCCTTTTTTTTAACTCGTAGGGCCATTGCTTGTCGCAGCGTGTGTCCAAGCCAATGACGCGGTTGGGTATTTACTCCGCAGTACTCCAGCAAAACGGAATCGCCGTAGTGCCCCCCCCCCACCCCCTTTTTTTTTTTTTTTTTTTTTTTTTTTGGCGGTAACCGTAATGGTGGTCGAGTAGATCATGTTGTGCGGGGTCGAGAAACCTCACTCCGCGCAACGGGGGATGATCGCACCACGTTGTGTTACAATGGTCAAGCTTCCTCGAGGCAGTTACACAGTGCTTACAACTGTCTCTGGAAGTGAAAGCACCAGAAAATAAATTAAGTCATACGTCGCTGTCATCCGTACGCAAGGAAGTAAGCACACGATGCCGAACACCCTTAGCAGGATGCAGCTCACCCTTCATGCGACTCGCCAAATACCTCACGGCGCTTCGCGCTTGGTGATGTGAGAGCCTGGTCCGGTGAGAACCCGGCGTGCTCCGTCCCGGCTTTGTAGGGATGCGAGGTCAATGGTCAAACGATTACGGCATGCACGACTATGAGTACACCCCCCCCCCACCCCCCCGGTACTGTTGTACAACTGGGTGTGGAAAAACGAGTATGCGCCAAGTAGATGGAGGGAAGGAGTGGTTGTGAACCTGTTTAAGAAAGGAGACAAGACTGACCCAGGAAACTACAGGGGTATCACACTGTTGAACACAGTAGGAAAAGTGTTTTGTAAACTGCTGAACGATAGGATAGTGGGAGTACTGGAGAAGAAACGTAGCATTAGAGAGGGCCAGGCAGGTTTCCGACAGAAGAGGGGGTGCGTAGACCACGCATTCACGGTAGGGAGAATCATCCAAGGTAGAAAGAGGGCGGGAAAGCGGACGTACTGCTTCTTCCTGGACGTGAAAAAGGCATACGATACCGTATGGAGAAATGGGCTGTGGAAACAATTGTCCAAGTACGGGATCAAGGGGAAAATGTGGAGGGTGCTGAAGAAGATGACAGAGTGTACGAAAAGCGCGGTCATGCTAGACGGAGAACTGTCTAAATTCTTCGACATTGAGCAAGGGGTCCCACAAGGTTGCACGCTGTCCCCAACATTGTTCCAGGTGTTCATCAACGATCTGTTGGAAGTCGTAGAGGCAGTCCGGAAGGGAGTAAAAGTAGGGGACACGGAAACTTCGGTGTCAGGAATGCTGTTTGCGGATGACTTTGTTGGTATGTCGGACACCCCTGAGGGACTGCAACTGCAAATTGACGCGGCGAAGAAGTTTACTGATAAGTGGAGATTGTCTGCCAACGTTGCGAAGAGTGCCGTCATGGTATGCAACGAGGGCAGGAAGGAACCAGTAGAACATAGATGGAAGTGGGGGATCGAGGAGATTGCAGTAGTGGACCAGTACACATACCTCGGAGTAGAGATCGCAAAAGATTGCTCGTGGAATGCACACATGTCCAAGGTAGCGGAAAAGGGCAAAGCACGAGCAGGGAAGCTGCACCCAATCCTCGCAAACCGGCACCTTGATACACGCATCAAACTGACGGTTTTGAAGAGCGTAATCGTACCGCCGCTAGAGTACGCCGGAGAAGTATGGGAAGGAAATAAGAAGGTAGTGAAAGAACTCGAGGCGGCGCAGATGAAAGCAGCGAAAATCATCCTAGGATGCTCCAAGCGCACAAGTAATGCAGCAGTCAGGGCAGAATTGGGGATCCAATCCCTACGGTCGGGAAGAGACGTAAGGAAGCTGACATGGCAGTATCGCATGTGCGCGATGGGAGAGGAGAGGTTGCCGAGAATAGTATGGGAGGCGAAGTGGGCAAACAAAAAGAGGGGTAGACAACCCACGGAATGGGTCAAGGTTGTAGAGGACGTATGGAAGGGATTGGACATCGACGAAGATGAAACGCTGGAAACGGAGGGTCTACAGGGGTTCAAGAAGAAGATATCTGTTGCTTGTGCCGACAGAGAAGAACAGAATCTAAGGAAAGAATCCAAGGATAGGAGGGTCTAGAAGTGTACGGAATGTTGAAAGAAGGAATGGGGTTCAAGGATTACCTACATGGACCAATGGATGCAGGGACAAAGCTTAAGGTCAAATTCAGGACCGGGGACATAGGCCTTCGCGAACGTCGACGAAGACAGAGGACGGTAGACGACGAAGACGACAAGTTCAAATGCGATTGCGGCTTCGAATGCGAAGACAGTGTTCATGTAGTCGCGGAATGTCCGTGGTACGAAAAGGAGAGGGAAGTGTACATGACTGAGCTGGGAAGAATACAAGGGACGTACAGGGAGATGTTTGAGGCATGGAATAGAGAGGAGAGGACGGTAGCGGTACTGGGGAGTAGAAAGTGGTTTGAAAAGGCGGGAAGTGACATCGGTAGGATAGACAAACTAGGGAAGACATTTTTGAGCCACCTTTGGCAAAGTAGGAAGGAACGATTGGCCATCGGTGATCGGTCCTGTGGGAACAATGCTCCGTCCTCTCGAGGACGCGTGGTCAATGGTCTAACCGCTAAGGCATGCAAAGCATAAGAGTACGCCCCCCCCCCCACCCCCACCCCCCCCCCCTTTCT